GCCAATGGGAGCCTCCCTCTCACTTCTTAGAATCCTTAGACAAGAGGGCAACTCCGGCCAGTGTTGAGCGTCTGAACATCGAATAGGAGTCCTTGGTTTTCAGAATTTCTAGGGTGGGTGGGTATGATACCAGTCAATGGGGGACCGCCCATGGCCAAGCACGTGCAAGGGAGAGGAGGGAGATGGGGTCATCCTTTGTCATCGGGTGCTCTCTCCTCAGTATCAGAGAGTCCAGCCAGAGGGTGGGGGGCAGGATCCCCCGCAGCAGGGACCTCGGGGCACCCGTTCCCCCTAGCCCCTCCCCCACATGTACCCTCTCCCCCAGTCCCTCCTAACTCCCTCCTTATGCAGGGCTTGCCCCAGTTCAAAGGTTTTGGGGTTCAGGGTGCTGTGTGTCTTCTTGCCTGTGCCCACATCACCCCAAACCCTTCTGTTATTTATTACGGCTGTGGGAAAGGACTTTTTTTTTTTCTTGGAACCCACCCCTCTTCTTCACACTGCTCCCCATGCCTCAGCCTCCTGCAGCTGTGCCATCATAGGGGGCATGGGTGGAGCAGAGAGGGCTCCCCCTCCCTGGGCACTCAAAGGCAGTGGGCAGAGGAGACACTGCCCCCCTTTCCTGCCCTCTCCTTATCTTTAATAAAGACCTGTTTGTAACAGAAGTGTGGCCACCTGTCTTCCTCTCCCAGGTGGCGAGATGTGGAGGACTTAAATCTGCGTCTGGGTGTCTGTGGGGCTGGGTGGGGGTGTATTGTCCCAGTGTGTCCGAGGGCGATTGTGGATAGACAGTATGGAGTCGTGGGGCTAGCGACTTGGGTTTAAATCCTGGCTCAGCATTTCCTGGTTGTGTGGCCTCAGGAAAGTTAATTAACCTCTCTGTGCCCTTGTTTCTTCATCTGTCGATGTGAACAGCCCCACAAGCCACACGTGAGGCTCACGGTGATGGGCCTCACGTGACTGTCTTCCCCTGGCAGCTGGCCTGCTTCTGGCCACAGCTAGGGTGCAGAGGGCATAGGGTGACGGGACCCTGAGGGTCCTAATAGCAAAGGGGGATGCTGAGGGCACTAGGAACCTCTAGCTGAACCCCTGGCTGCAGGGATGAGAGCAGGGGTTCTGATTGTGAGCTTGTGCTGAGTCCCAACCGTTGAGGGCCCAACAGAGACCAGGGAGGGCAGGAGGGGCAGGGAGCCACTGACCCCGCCCCCCACGGCTCTGCGGGGCTTCAGACAGGCAATTCAGGGCACAGAGTCATCCAGGAACCAGGAAAGGGGAGTCTGCTTCCCTTCCCCCTCATTCGTTCATTCAACAAACACTGCAGAGCACCTACTGTATGGTGCTGTTTCGCTAGGCACAGGGGCTAAGACACAAATTCCTGCCCTCACGGAGCTCGCATTCTAACATGTGAGAGACAGACAATAAACAAGATAAATAAGTTTTATACAGAGCCACAATCCCAAATCTTAAAAAGGTCTGACAACCAAAAATTGTTTTGTAACTCATTTGTGCATGAGGTTATGTGAGGCTGATATGAGGTTATGTGTAGCTCTTATTTATTTAACTTGTGAATATTCTTGTTTTGCTGCAGATAAAGCGTTTCATTTGGGGATGTTATCCCAGGACCCACTAGGGGCTTATGCAATACATAGTATTTACACGACAGTACCTTTTGAAAATCTGAATAAGTCTGAATTCCAAACTCTAAGATCAAGGATTTAGGTCAAGGATTGGGATCTCTGATATGTTGAATATTGATAAGTGGTAAGGAGAAAATTCAAGCTAGAGAAGGCAATGGGGCAACTATGGGATGGGGACACGGTTTGCAACTTAAAGAGGATGATCAGGGTCCTTGTCTCTGAAGTGATGGCGCTGGAGATGAGGTGTGAAGGTGGAGAGGGAGGGAGACATGAAAACATCAGGGGTGGAGGGAGAAGCGTTCCAGGCAGAGGGGAGAGCAAGCACCAAGGCCCTGAGGTGGGAACGTGCCTGCTGTGGTCCGGGAGGTGAGGACACCCGTGTGGCTGGAGGGGAGTGAGCGAGGGGGAGGTGATGGTGCTGATGTGGGGCACGGGGAAGGAGATGGGAGCATGAGAGGGCTGGAGGCAGAGGAAAGAGAGAATCCGCTTCACCGACCAGAGCTCCTGTTTCCAGGGGTCGCACCCCTGAGACCCATGGTCCCCCTGTCGTACAGCTGCCTCCACGCGGGCCAGGAAAGAAGCAAAACTTCAGCACGGCGGACAGCGCCTCCTGGCCAGCCCACCTGGCGCTGTCCATGGTTCTGATGTTAAGCGGGGGCCAAGAAAGGGTAAAGTGGGGGCTAGAGAGGGTGGCGACAGCAGCCCTGGCCTTGCCCACACCCCCATCCCAGGATGGATAATGTCAGGTAGAGAACCCAGACTAAGGTGTACTTGCTTATTCAAAAACCTCATCAACGTGCCCCCGTGGGGGGTCTCACATCTTAAACTCAACTCGATCAAATCTGAGCTCCAGTTTAGGAAGTAAGTCAGACCATGATCCTCTTTTGCTCAAACCCTCTCATGGCTCCCCATGGCACTCTAAGTAAAAACCAAAGTTCTCCCGATGCCTCAGGGCCTTTGCACTTGCCAGTGTCTCCATCTGGAATGCTCTTCCCCCACATTTCTGCATGGTTCACTCACATCCTTTAAGCCTTTTCTCAAATGTCACCTTCTCACTGAGGCCTGTCCCTGCCACCCTATCCAAAATGTCAAAAAAAAAAAAAAAACTGGCCCTTCTGACTTCCCTCCCCTGTGCAAACTTTTTTTTGGCATACATTTACCATCTGCTCATAGACTATTTAAACTGATTTGGCACACAGTAGGTGCTCAATAAGTATCTGCTAAATGAATGAACTAATCACTCAGGATGCTGATAAACCAGGAAGAAGCACAGACTGGCCCTGAGCTGTCCACTTCCCGGTCCCCTCATCCTTCAGTCCTCCTCCTCTGGGAAGCCCCTCTATGGCAAGGGTCCTACTGTCAGGATATGAAGATGGGATTCTGAGAAGTGAGAGAAAGAAGCACTGTGTGCATGAGAGATATGCCAAACACCTGCATCTCTGCCAGTGTACCCACTCAGCCTACATTTATGAGCACCTACTGTGTGCCAGGCCCTGTTCTAGGCACTGGGGACCCAGCAGTGAACAAAACAGAGACCCTATCCTGGTGGATATGACATTGTAGTCAGGAGAGAGGCAATAAAACCCAAATAAAAATACATAACGTTGGAAGGGTTAAGTTATTCGAAGAGAAATAAAAATGGAGACACAAAGAATGAAGGGTGTGCGATTTTACACATGTGGTCAGGGAGAGCCTCTCTGAGTAGGTGATATTTGAGCAGAGATCTGAATGGAATGGGAAAATGAGCCACAGGGATATCTTCGAGCTGAGGGCTCTCAGCAAGGGAACAGCGAGTGCAGTGGGGCTGTGTTCAGCATGCTCCCGTGTATGCGACTGTGAGGGACTGTGTGACACAGGTGTCCTTACTGAGTGCTTGCGCATTTGGGGTGTTGCAAAGTGAGGGGTTGTGCATCTTTTGGGGGGGCTGAGGCGGTGCGTCTGACAAGGCAGTATAACAGTGTACCGTGTGTGTGTGTGTAAAGAGCTGTAGGCACATCAGCTGAAAGGAAACGTGACTATGTGTGTGTAGCGGCAATGGTATGGTTGTATTAGAGTGTGTTCTGGCGTGTGTGCAAGGGAAGGGATGTGGGGCATGAATGTGGGAGACAGTGTGTATGGGATGCTTCGTGTCAGGGTAGGACAGGGCTGCGAGCATGTGGGTGATGGGATTCTGGAAGCAGAATATATACAGAGATGCCGTGGTGTGTGTGTGTGTGTGTGTGTGTGTGTGTGTAGAGTGGTGTGGGGGTGCCGGCTGTGTGAGTGGGTGGATTGGGGGATGTTGTGGAGCTGTGTTCTGGCCCCAGAGGGAGAGAGAAAGCCCAGGAAATCTCAGTTCGCCTTGCCCCTGGGTCTCCCGGCAACGGCACCACTTTGAAGTTACCAAGAGACAGAGTTGCCAGGGCAACAGGGGCGTGAGTGGCAGCTCTGGGGCGAAGTCTGGATGAGGAGACCCAGCCAGCGATCACTCGATCGCTCACCTTGTTCCTCCTTCTCTCCCAGTTTCTCATCAATCCCACCTTCCTTTCTTCATTCATTTACTTAATGAGCACATATTGAGGATCTACAATGAGCTAGTCACTGTTCCGGGCGCCGGAGATACCGAAATGAACAAGACAAACAAGATCCCTGCCGTGGCTCTCCCTCAGTCTCCCCGGCCCTGTCTCTGTGTCGCCCAGTGCCTTCTTTGGTCTATGGTCTTGCCTTCCCCCGTACCCCGAGCAGGACCCAAGGAACCCCCAGGCCAATGAGGAAGCCAGTTGAGAGCCCTCTCCTCACAGCCCCTCAGAGATGGCTGCTGCTGTTTTGCACACGAATGTCGCCGAGCCTGCAGCCCCAGACACACACTTGTGCGGGTACTCGGGTGCAGAGAGACACGAGCACACAGCTCATCCATCCCTCCACTTCTCCATTGTCACTGGGTGACCTCAGCGGAAACACACACAGACACATGCCCATCACGATATTCCTCTGAGACATCAGGAGCTCCATTTTACAGGTGAGCAAACTGAGGCTAGGAGACTTTAAATAATATGTCAGCGATTAGGGCTTGCTCCCTCCAACTCTCAACCCTTTTATCTGTCTGATTAGCTGACTAGTTCAAAATAATAGTATTCGTGCTGCTTCCCTCAGCAGCTCACCTAAGGGAAAGAAAAGCCTTTTCTCCCTCAAACGCCCGCATTCCTCCTCCCTCAGACTAGGCGATTTGCCGCTTCACCAGGGGAGGAGCTAGCAAAAGCCGATCTACCGTTGATGGACAGATCCATGGACCAGTGGAGACGCTAAATGCGCTGTAACCAATGATGCCTCGTCTTGGGCGGGATTAAGGGCAGGAACGGCCGCCGATTGGACAGAGTTACATTGCGAATGGCGGAGACGCTGAGGCGGGTGCTAAGCCGGGGCAGCGCGGCCGGGTCCGGGGAGAACACAGCCGAGGCTGGGCCGCCTTTGCTGCTGCTCGGCGGTCCCGGCTCTGGAAAGACAGCGCTGCTATTCGCGGCGGCCCTGGAGGCGGCAGGGGAGGGCCGAGGGCCCGTCCTCTTCCTGACCCGGAGGCCTCTGCAAAGCCTGCCTCGCGGGACGAGGGCAGCGCTCGACCACCTGCGCCTGCAGGTAACCGAGGGCGGGATCAGAGGCGGGCCAGCCAGTGGCGGGGCGGATCGACGATTGAGTGACAGGTAGACAGACCAATTGCGGGGACGAAGGGAGGACGAGCCGGAGCAGCCATTTTGGGGCGGAGTCAGGAACGAGCCGGGGTGGGGTGGGGACCATGCGAAGCTTAGTTAAGATTGACTGAAATGTCGTCCAATGATGGAGCGGAGTTAGCGAAAGGGTGGAGTCAGGGGCGAGCAAGGGGCGGGGCTAAGCTTAGGTCTAGCCTGGACGCGAGTTGGTACCAGTGGAACTGAGTCAATGGTGGGGTCACACTGGGGACGCCACGGGTGGGTTTTCCGTGGAAAGACTGCCCTAGAGATTTGGCAAAAAGACATACCTGTTTTCAGCTAATACCAGGCAGTGATGAGTGCTGGATAATAAGAGGGGGAGAGGGCAAAAGAATATTGGATCGCTGTGAACTGCTTCACTCTGGTACCAGCTGTCCGGGGAGTGAGCGCCTTGTCCAGGAAATTATGCAAGGAAGCGGGGCTGCTATAGCTGGGAATCTGGCTTCCTGTGCTGAATCTGGCCCTTTCCTTCTTTTCTCCCTCTAGAAGATCCGCCTCCAGTACCCACCCTCGACCCGTGAGCTTCTCCGGTTCCTGTGCTCTGCTCATGAGGCCCGGGGGCCAGCCCCCTCCCTCCTGCTGCTCGATGGCCTGGAGGAGTACCTAGCTGAAGACCCAGGGCCCCAGGAAGCCGCCTACCTGGCTGCCCTGCTTCTGGACACAGCTGCCCACTTCAGCCACCGAATTGGGCCTGGTGGTGGCTGTGGGCTCATTGTGACCCTCCAGACCCAGGAGGAGGGAGACATTGGGGACGCCCTGCAGCTGTCACTGCTCCAGCGGTATTTCCCTGCCCAGTGCTGGCTGCAGCCAGATGCACCAGGCCCAGGACAGCACCGCCTCCGAGCCAGCCTGGAGCCAGGTGGGCTGGGCCCCAGGGCAGAGTGGTGGGTGACTTTCCGACCAGATGGAGAGATGACAGTCACCCCGTGGCCTACCCAGGCTGGCGACCCCAGCTCAGACAAGGGTTCAAGCTCTGGAGGGCAGCCTTGAGCTTTGGTATGTGACAACCTCTCTATGCCTTGGTTTCCTGTGTCTGGAATACTTCCCCCAGGGAAATGTGCAGATTCCAAGACCTAAAGAATGTAAAGTGCTTTTTCTCTTTTAAAAGTAGTATTACTGTGTACATATTATGCTCAATCAACATATTGTTTCGTTTTGCTATTTTGAACTTTATAAAAAGAGTTTTGTGATAAATGTAATTTTATGAGACTTCCTTTTCTCCCACTCAGCATCGTTACTAAGACTCAGCCACATTTTCTAGTGCATTCCTTTTTCCCTCCTGGGTATAGTTCCAGTATACCCCAATTTAATCATCAGATTGACTTATTTACTGCTCTGAACATTCTTGCACACATGTCCTGGTGCATGTGTGTGAGAGTTTTTAGGGTATATACCTAGAAGTGGGATTCCTGGAGCAGAAGATATGCATATGTTCAGCTTTCCTAGGTTATATGAAACTTTAAAAAAATGATTAAACCAGAACTCCCATGGAACCACTTGGTGACACTTAGTGTCATCAGAGTACTTTCTTTGAACAGGGCCTGTCACAGAATAAAGCCATATGAATTAATGTTATTATTATTAGTGGCAGAGACAAGCTAGAGGTTCATGAAACAGCTTTCCTCTGGATGCACAGCTAAACTACATGTCCTAGCAGTCTGTGGGACTAGCTGGGGGGGGGGAGGTCACATGACTGTTTTTGGCCAGTGGGATTTATGAAGAAGAGATGGTACCCACTTCTAGGCTAGATTCCTAAAACGGCCCACAGAATCTTCTGCTGTCTCTCTCTTTGCTTGTTGGCTGGAAGGATACAGAGGATCCATCCAAAGATGTGAGGGTGGCCTTGAGGGATGGTGAAGCCACAGACCAGAAGAGTCTGGGCTTCTGACTCATCCCAGGGATGGCTGCCCACCTGCCTGAACTGAGATGTGAGAGAGAAACCATTTAATGTTAAGCCATGCAGATTTGGGAGTTGTTTGTTACGGCAGCTAGCATAACTTATACTGACTGATTCATTTTATTAGGATTATCATTCAGATTGCCAGGGCCAGAATTTCAGACTGAGCTCAAGGCTTTTTACTGCTGCCCCTATGGCCTGGGCCCAGGGACAGATGGGGCTTACAGGCCATTTGCAGAAGTCATGATAGAAAAACTTACATATATATATCTATACAAAGAACTATACATTTTAAAATACTGCAAGGTCACGACTTCCTGAGCAGGAAGGATGGGGCAGAAAGCCAACGTCAGCAATGCCCCTAGTCCTGAGTGAGGCCTCGCCGACCCTGCCCGATAAGTCTTGGGCCTGGCCTAGCACTTGAGGTCATGCTGGGTCCCCAAGCGTCCTAGGAGCAGGCCACGCAGCTTGGGGCTGAAGGCTCGGCGGCTGGGACGAGGCTGTTCTCATAAGGGTTGGAGTAGGGGCCGTTGGAGGAATCCCTCTGGGCTCCCTGGGAGCCCCCTGAGCTGTAGTCAGTTGAGATGCCAGAGTCAGACACCACGAGGTACAGGTACTTGAGGTGGGGTGGGGTCGGGGGCAGCTCAGGAGGCAGTGCCCTCGGGCGCAGGAGCTGGGAGCTGGGGTCCAGCATGGTGTACTCAAAGCTGGCAGCCGAGGCCCCCTCCGGGCCAGGCTTCAGAGCCAAAGCAGACCAGCAGGAGGGTGCTTCCGAGCCTTCCTCCGTGGCTGCTGTGTCCAAGCCGCCACCAGGCTGTGGGAGGTGCTCGCGGGGCGGGCTCCGAGGCAGCAGCCACTTGTCCAGCACCAAGTAGGTGTCCCGGGCGTGCTCACTGCCCACCGGCTCCAGCAGAGGCCCCTCGTCGTCTGCCCCTGGCTCCACTGCCTGTGTCACCCCCCAGCAGCGCTCAGAGAGGACTTCCAGGGAGGCGGGGGGGTCCTCCGGGAAGGGGGTGCAGGGGCTCCACCACAGACAGCCGTCATGCTGGTACAGCCACAGCTGGGGAAACAGCAGCACCCTGCTCAGAGCCCTGCGGTTCAGCCACGGGAGCAGGGAAGCCGCAGGCCCTGGGACCAGGCCACCTACCTGGAAGTTACCCTTGTGGGTGGTGAAGAGGCCCTCAAACTCGCTCTCGGGACTTGGGATGCCAGGCCAGATCTTCTGCTTCAGAGCCCTGGTAATGCCAAAAGAAACGAGCACAACACTCACCAACAACCCCTCAGCACCAGTCACAGGGGCACAGATACTCCTCGCACCTCGTGATCATGATGGAGGCAGACGAGTGCATGTGGGCTGAGGAACAGGGGCTCTGGCTGTAGCATCTGCAAGGCCCTACAGAAGGGTGACTGGAATAGGGTTTTGAAGGATGCATAGGCGTTCAATATACACTGTCTCATGCTCCCTCTAAACCTGGCCCAGGCTTGCCTGGAGGTTCCTTATATTACTTCCCTTCTCACTCCTTTCCATGGTTCCCCAATGCATTCAGAATAAACTTCAAACTCCTCCCCACAGCCCTGTGGAGACTGCGTGTTCTGATCCCTGTCACCTCCCTCACCTCATCATCCACCAGTTCTCCTTACACAATATGCTCTAGCCATAGGGCTCCTGCAGCTGCTTCAATGTTCCAACTCATTCCTACCTCAGGGCCTTTGCACTTGCTGTTTCTTCTCCCCCCTTTTCAAGTGGCTGCCTCCTTCCAACCATCAGGTTTCTGCTCTGATGTCGCCTCCTGGAGGCCTTCCCTGACCATCCTGTCATGTCCCCACACCCCATTTGTTTCTTTCATATCATTCATCACAATCTATAATCAAATATCTGTTGGTTCCCTTGTCCGTTGTCTGACTCAACTGTGAGATCCACAAGGTCAGGGAGATGTCAATTTTGTTCTCCACTTTCTCCCCGGAGCCTAGCACATAGTTGGCCCTCAGTATGTATTTTCCAACCAAGTAAATGAACAGGGCCTTGAAAGACAGCTAGGAGATTGCCTGGGGGACCAGGCAGAAGGAACGGCATGTGCCAAGGCTTGGGGGTGTGAAACCACAGGGTATGTGCTGGGAATTACGAAAACCTCAGGATGGCTGGTCATATCATAAAGCGTCTGAGAGGCTTGACAACAGGGGCGGGAGGCACTTGGGGGGTTAAATGTTTCCATTCAGCCCATCTGATGGATTTGACAAAAGTTGATGAAATTGGGAAAAAGAATGAGCAAAGGAATTCCAGAAGGAGAAGCCACTGAGGTAGAAGGAAGACCAGGTGAATGTTCCCCGAGAACTTTAACTAAGAGCCTAGGTCTGGTCCGCCTTGCATCCCAGCCCTGCCACCCACTCCTCACTGTGTGACCTCGGGCGAGGGTCTTCCCCTCTCTGAGCCTAGGTTTCCACAGCGCAAGGCGGTCGTTGGTGGGGAGGAGTCTGGGCCAGGTGCCTGAACGGGGCGCTCACCGGCGGTGGGAGAGCAGGGCGAGCACAGCCAGCAGCAGCAGGATGAGCACGAGGATGAGGGAAAGCGTCAGGATGAGGGGGTCGAAGTCTGGGGAGCAGGGAGGACGTCAGGGCGGTGGGCTTGCCCGAGGCTCCGCCCCAGCCCTGCCAGCCCCCCCTGCCTGGGGCCTCACCGCTAGCCGTCAGCAGCGACGCAGGCTCGGACCAGGCGCTCCAGAAGCCCCCGAAGCTCGGCTCGGCCATACGCGCGCGCACCATGAAAGTGTAGCGCGTTTGGCCCCGCAGGTTGCTCAGCACGCACTCGGTGCGGCCGTCCAGGATCTCCACCTGGGGGCGGGGCCCGGGTGAGAGGCGTGGCCAACGGGGGCGGGGAGCAGAGAGGGGGGGTGGGGGCGGGCCCTGAGGGACAGCCAATCAGAGAAAGGAAGGGCGGTGCCCAAGCGCGGCGGGAGGAGGGGGCGGGCAATGAAAGCAGGAGGCGGGGCCCAGCAAAGCTCGGAGCCAATCAGGGCAGGGGCCCCAGGTGGCGGGAGGCGGGGCCAGAGCACAGAGGGGCGGGGCCCTGAAGGAGTCTGGAGTTTGGCACTACGGGGTAAGTGGGGTTGGGTTCGGGTGGGCTGCGGAGGCATTGAGAAACGGGCCTTGTCGGTGGGCGCGGAGCTGTCTTGGGCGTCAGGGCAACGGGATGTCGGGCGTCAGGGGCGGGACCTGGAGGGGCGAGGCCATGGGGGCGGGGCCGTGGTGACCGTCTGGGCGGGGCTTAGAGGGGCGGGGCGGGGATGTGGACTGCGGAGCCTTTGGGGCTGGGCGGTAGGGGCGGGCCTCACCCTCTGCGCGCCCCCTGCGGCGCTGCCTGCCGAGATGTTCACCTCGTAGCGGATAAGGCTCGCCATGGGGGCCCCAGGCGGCGGCAGCCAGCGCAGTACCACGTGGCCGCCCTCTTCGGCCCGCCGCGCCAGCAGCCCCGCGGGGGGGTCCAGGAGCACTGCCGAGAGGGGATGCTCAGGCGGGCGGAGACCGGGACCCCGTCCCCCGACCACTCCCCGGTTCCCGGCGCACTTACCCACTTCGTTGACCTGGATGACGCGGCGGTAGCGTGGAGCGCCCGAGGAGGCCGCCGTGACGCGCAGCTCCAGGGGCACGAAGCTCGACGTGTCGGCCGTGGGCAGCGAGCACCAGAAGCGCACCGCGCCGCGGGCCGTGGGCGCCTGGTGCAGGCGGCACGGCTTCCACGGCTCACCCCTGCGCGCCGAGGGACGGGGGAGGGAAGGGAGCGAGTTGGCAGGTATTGCCCGGACGGTGGGCGCTCTTTGGATACGGCCACCACGGGGCGGCCCAGCCCCGACGTACGCGACGCCTTAGTCCCGATTTGGAGGGGTGTGGTCCCAGCCCTGACGTTTGGGGTCTCGCTCCAGCGGCGATCAGGGGAGTGTTCCAGCCCCGGCCACTAGGGGACGTGTCAGCCCCGACCCCGCGGGCTTCCCATCAGGGCGGTGCCATCCGGCCCCTGGCACCAGGAGGCGTCCCAAGCTACGAGCTCCGGGGCGCTCCGCCTCCCGGGTCGGACTCACTCGAGCTGGTAGGAGAAGCTGTAGTTGTCGGGGCCGACCCCGGCGCTTGCCGCTTCCTCCCAGAAACACACCAAGTCCTCCAACCGCTCCGTGAAGCAGAGAAGCTCCTCGGGCCCGCGGGCCGCCAGCAGGGCCGCTGGGGGTGGGCGCAAGGCGAGGGGCTCAGAGGAGCCCAGCCCCGTCCTCGGGCCGCAGCATCCTCCCCCTTCTTCCCGCCGCCTGTGCGGACCGATAAGAAAAGAGCCCCGCCCCGCTCTCTATTCCAGCGAGGCCCCTCCAGGGGTCCGCAGAGGTGCTGCCCCCCGAACTCCCAAGCGCAGGTTGCTTGCTTTACTGTGCCCCGCACACACACCCACCCACCTCGCGATGGGCTGAATTGCGCGCAGCGTTCAAGGCCTCCGCCTCCCGCGCCTGGCCCCGCCCCAGCCCAGGACTTGCGTGCCGGTGGGTGTGTGGAGGAGGCGGGCCCCCTATCGGCCCCGGCAGGCTCCCCGCTGCCCGATAGCGCCAACCGTGTCCCCCGCCCCCTCCCTCATCCCGGCAGGGCAGGCGATCTGGCGCCCGCATGCAAACCGTGTTTACAGTCGCCTGCAGCCCGGCCCCTCGGACTCGGATCCGGGCTTTATCCTCCCTCCTCCACTGGAGGGTCCGCTAGGTCCCCTCCCTTTAGGGACTCTAGACCGCAGGACCTAGACCCAGCACCGCCCCTGCCCCATGGGGAGTTAGCATGTCCCTAAAAAGATGAAACAGGAACCCACGTCCCTCTCTAGTGTCCCCCCTAGAACCCAGTCTGGGGACTGAGACCCCAACATGCCCCACCAGGACCCGGTCTAGGGGTTCAGACACCAGCTTGGCCCCCAGAACGCAGAGTGGAGGTCCAGAAGCCAGCATGGCCCCCAGGACCCAGGCGGGAAGTTCAGGCCCCAGCACTGCCGTCCAGGACACCGTGCGGGGGTCCACGCACAGCTCCTTCCTTACCTTTGCTTTCAAACTTGGGGTCCGACGAGTTGAGTGGGGGAGCCCAGGCGACCCCAGCCAGCAGGAGACAGAGGGAGCCGACTCCAGGCCAAAGGGGCGCCCCGAGGTGATCCATGATGCCGCCCCCGCTAGGAGGGGTCCAGGGCTCCCGTTCCCCCTCCTTCCAGCCCTGGCACAGTCCGCAGCTGGGTCAGCAGCTGCCTCCGCCGGACACAGCTGGCCAGGCCCTTCCCGGCCAGGCGCCCCAAGTGGCAGCTCCCGGAGGGGGCGGGCCCAGCAGGCAGCCTGGGCTGAGATAAGCGGGAGGCGGCCGCCCTGCCCGGCCCCGCGGGAGGGGGCAGGGGCCCTCCTGGGGCTGGAACAGGGTTTTGCATCAGACACACTTTCTTGCTGTGTGACCCGGAACAGGTGACTTACCTTATCTGAACTTCAGTCTTCTCATCTGTAAAATCCAGCTTGGCACATGCCAAACATTCCAAAAATGTAAACTATGGATATTATCGTGGTAATCAACATCTCTTCCCAGTCTGGGTAGGAATAAACAATGATCGTAATAGTGACTAGCGGTTGAGCGCACAGGGCTGAACAGTATGCACCATACGATTTGTATTTGTAAAACACATATGTTCTAGAGTGAGATTTCATTTGTGATTCATTGGAAAAAATTTTTTTTACTGCTTACAATTTTTATATACTTGGGATTTTATTTTACAAGGAGTGTGCAGTTCGTTTAATGATCTGGAAAGTAATTCTAGAACAAACTGTAAAAGCTATTTGTTTGGCTGAGTGTCTCAGACGGGAGTAACCCCCCACACACACAACAGAGGTACATGCCCAGGGGAGGGATCGTTACCTACCTCATGGTACCTGCCCACCCTAAACTAGCCAATCAGAGTGCTTCAGTCCCTGGAGCACAGTGATTGGTTCAGGGTGAGCATGTGATCCAAATGGATCCAACGAGCTTCCATCCTGGGACTTTACCTGGGAAAGGGGGTGCCGCTTTCTTTTGGGCTTATAAAATAGCCAAGGAAGAAATTGCCTGATGGTGAAGCCAACACGGGCGTTTGCACTGTCTGTTCCCTCTACCTGGAAGGCTGTTCCTCTGCGTCTCACTCCTTCATTTCATTCAAACCTCTGCCTAAATGTCACCTCCTCAATGAAGCCCTCTCTGATCGCCCTATTTAAAATAGCAACCCGCCCATCCCACAATCCCTGTCACCCCGAATGGCTTATCATCATTATTTTATTATTATTAGTTTGCATCCTCTCTGCTATTATCACCTAACATGTATTTGATATGTTATTGATTCGCCTCCCTCACTAGTCCATTTCTGCATCCCCAGCGCCTAGAACAGGGCCTGGCACACAGTAGGACCTCAAGAAATATGAGTGGAGTAAAAGATGTAAAGAAACAGTGGGTCTTGTGTTAGTCACCGGATACAGCTGTGCCTGAGTACCTCTGCACTTTTAAAAAACAGAAGTGATTCTATGAGAATCTCTTCCTCAGGAAATTGCCACTTGGACCGTGTGTGTGAGAGAGAAGCAGAAACTATAAGCTGTGATTATGAGAGGCGAACCAGCCCAGTGGTTAAGTGCACGTGCTTGGACACAAGGCAGATCATCCAGGTCTGAGCCCCAATCTTATCATGCCACGTTGCCTAAGTAATTAACCCTCCCTAGTCTCAGTTTTTCGTGTATAAAATGGGCATAATAATGGTGCCTACTCCATAGGGCTATTATGAAGATTATGAAATAGATTATGTCAAGTTCTTAGAATAGTGGGTACAGTAAGGATAGCAATTATTTGCTTAAGCTAGTTTCAGAAGGATGCTGCTACTGACTTCTGATTGATTGATCTTAAGGTCTTAATACTTAGAGGAAAAAAAGCCTGTAAAGTAGCCATACCATGATCTTTTATCAGACCCTCCATGAGGCTTAGATTCTTCTGTCTCCTCTCCCACCTTACACAGTGCTTGGGCATCCCCTATTATTGCTCCAGGGGCAAAGTTTAGAACCCTAGGGATTGCTTTATGCCCGTTCACCAGAATTCTCCCTTCTCCTAGTAATGGCATCCAAATGTAATTTCCATTTTTGTGCCCTCCCAGACTCCACTCCTGTGATTTGAAATTTCTCTGCCAGCTCAAAGCATGGGCACAGGACCCAGGCCTGGCCAATTAGCGTATTACAATCCTCTGAGCACAGTGATTGGTTCACGGGTGGCCACGTGACACAAGCTGGTCCAATGGGCATCTGCTCTGAGACTTTTGCTGGAGCGGATGGGAAGGAGGGGCTCTCCTTGCATGGGAAGGTGGAGCTGGTAGGATGTTGGCCTGGCACTGCCCTCAGGAGGTGTGAGCCTGCCTTGGATTCACGCTATGTTAATTATTATTATTATTATTATTATTTTTTAAGATTTTATTTATTTATTTTTTCCCCCCAAAGCCCCAGTAGATAGTTGTGTGTCATAGCTGCACATCCTTCTAGTTGCTGTATGTGGGACGCGGCCTCAGCATGGCCGGAGAAGCGGTGTGTCGGTGCGCGCCCGGGATCCGAACCCGGGTCGCCAGCAGTGGAGCACGCTCACTTAACCACCAAGCCACAGGGTCGGCCCATACGCTATGTTAATTAAAATGTCCTTTTGGCTACTGTAACAGAGACCCAAATAATAGTGGCTTTAAGTAAGATAGACATCTCTCTTATGTAACAATCTAAGTAGCAGTAATACAATATGGCAGCTCCCTGGTCTCAGAGAGCCACATTCCTTCCATTTTGTTGCTCCATTATTCAGAGGATGCGAACCACCCAATCCAACATAATCCACTCTGTGTCTTCATTCTAACCAGCAGGAGGCAGAAAAAGAGGAAGAGGAGGACACACTCCTTCTCTTTAAGGGCAGGACCCAGAATTTGCCCACCTCCTTTCCCTTTACATCTCATTGGTCAGGACTTACTCACATGACCACATTTTGCTGCAAGGGAGACTGGAAGTGTGGTTTTTACTCTGGGTAGCCTGCTAAAAATCAGTGTTCTATTACCATAGAAGAATGTGATTGGATTTGGTGGGACAATGACAGTCTCAGTCTCAGAGCAAATCAGAGCCAAGAGACAGCAACACAAACCAGGGACATCTTTTTCAGTCCCTGGATCCAACTGTGCCTGAAGCTGGCCCCATTGAACTTTTCAGTTACATGAGCCATTAATTTCCTTTTTTGCACATGCCTGTTTGAGTTGGGTTTTTGACCACTTGAAACAGACAGAACCCTGATTAATACAGTGAGATATAAAGCCCCTAGTCTGTGTCCAGCATAGAGTGGGGGTTCATAAGTGGTCATCTTATTATTGTTGTTGTTATGACTACGTTGCAGGTGACCCTACAGCTCATTTCGTCTCTGCCTTCTCTACCTGTTTCTTTTTCCTTCCCCAATACTGATAGAGAGCTCATCCCTCTCCTTTCATTGATGTTATTTATCTCTGATTCCGATGGAATTTCATTTCTCCACTTTCCTATATACATGGCAGAAAAGAAGCATATCACCTCAAAATGTTGGTGGAGGGAGTCCTGAACCCTGTGTGCGTGACAGGGCCCTCCTCTGTCACCTGGTCATGCCTCACCCACCCCCTTTCTTAGGACTCTTAGGAAGTTAATGGCTCATGTAATCGAAAAGTTCAGTGGGTCCAGCTTCAGACATAGCTGGATCTAGGGACTCAAAAGATATCATCGGGATTTTGTTGCTGTCTCCTGGCTCTGATTTGCTCTGAGACTGAGACAGTCATTGTCCCCCCAAATCCAATCACCTTTTTCTATGGTAATAGAACCACTGATTTTTAGCTGGCTACCAAAGTAAAACACCACACTAACAGCCTCCCTTGCAGCAAAATGTTTCTCTTTTTTTATCTTGATGAGGAGTGAACATGGAGCATGGTGCAGAACAAACAAGACTCACTCCTGGTCCATAACTTTGGTCGCTATTTTCATCCACTTCTGTCAGTTCTGATGCGTCTCTAATGTTACAAGATTTCTCTGGGGAAGGGTCTGACCCCCCCAATGATCCCCCTTCTATGTTTAACTAGCCACCCTGGGGGCTGATGTCTTTGGAACAGGGGTCTGGTGCCAGGAGGGTCAGAGGGATGGGGTCCAATCAAGTAGGGGGGAGGGGTCACCGGGTATGGAGCACGATGGGCTCTACTGGGGAATGGAAGCTATCCGGGGCCAGGCCCCAAGCTGCCAGTGGGGTCTGCATCCCGGAGGGAGGAGCAGGCCACCTCAGGTCGGGGAGACTGAGGGTGTGGGCGGGGCCCCCTCCTTCCGCCGCAGCACGAAGTCTCCGGGGACGGCTGGACTCATGGCATAGAAGACATTGGCGTTCTCTGGAATCAGGAGCTCTGGCCAGAGGCGGAGAGGATGATGAAAGGCCCGCACAACCTCGTACTTCCCCCACAAAGGACCTAGGTAACCTGCTACTCACCCCAGGGCCTGAACAACCTTGGGTCCCTTTAGCCAGTGCGAAGACAACCTCACCCTCCTCTCATTAGGAACCTGGACAACTTCCTACTCGAAGCCCACACAACCTCAAGTCTCCTCCCCACCACGAACCCGGGCAACCTCCTGCCATTTCTCCCTGAAGTCTTGATAACCTATACTACAAGCTTGGGCAAACTTAGTCCCAAACAACTTCCTGCTCTCCCCACCCTTCCCCAGCAGCCAATTCCCAGCCAAGTTCATGCTGCTCTCGCCATGAACTTTGACAACTTCTGACTTCCCACTTCCAGCCCGCACAACCTCTGGCCCTCACACTTGACATGTAAACAACCTCAAGTATTCCTGCCTAATGTCCGGCCAACCTCATGGCATGTCCTTTTACATGTCAACCTCTTGCCTCTCCCTCTTGAAAACTGGACAACCTCCTACCCCCGTCTACAATGAACAACCTCATGCTCCCCTACTCCGAATTTCAATACCATGTCGCCCTCTCCCAAGCCAAGTTCGGATAACTTCAGGGTCCCCATGCTGAGGCTGGAGAAACTCATTTCCCCTCAAATCCAAGCCCAGATCCCCTTTAGTCTCCCACCCCAACAGTAGAGCCTGAACAACCTCACAATCCTACAAATTTAAGCCCAGACAACCTTCTACACTCCCTCTCCCATTTGGCCCTGGACAATCTCATTTCCCCCATAAATCCTAGGAAGACACCTTTGGTGCCCCCTTCCCTCATGCTGAGCCAGGACAACCTCATGACCCCACATAATTGAGGCACAAATATATTACTGCCTTTTATCCCCACCCTGCTTATCTTACCCCTACTCTGTGCCTGAACCACCTCATGGCCCTGTTAGGGCCATCCTTGCCCCTGGTCAGTCTGCCACCCTCCAAGCAGTCCCCGCTCACCCCTGTCCCCAGGAAGGACTTGGAAGAGCTGGTAGTCGCGGGCCCAGGGCTGGGCCACATTGTGCTTCTGCAAGGCTCGCTGCACCACGCTGGGGGCCTTGTCCTGACTAGTGAGCTGGGAAGAGAGGTGAGATGTGACAGCACGAGCCCCAAGGGCAGGGCTGCCCCCGGCAGGTCCCCGCCCAGCCCCTCACCAAGATGCTGCGATACACGTTCCCGTGGTCGTTGTCGATGCTGACACGGATGACGCGGGCCTCCGAGCCCTGCTGCCCCGGGGGGGGGACGCGAGGGCCACTCAGGGGCAAGGCCAGGGGCCGGGGGCCTGGCGGGTCCAGGCTCAGGGGCAGCTGTAGGCAGTGGGGGTGGGGGCTGAGTGGTGGGAGAGCGCTAGCCCCCCTCATTCTATCTAACGCATCCCCCCACACCCCCGGAGCCTGGGGACACGCCATTAGGGTGCCCACACGCCCGCATCTACGCAATCTCATCCTATACAGACCTCCGTGCCCCGTTACACAGACACATTCACACATGACCGATAAACACACAAACCCACGTTCACACGCAAGATGTCCTGCATACACAGAGAGCAGCGAGCACACACACACGCTCACACCTGTTGTACACACACAAGCCCACGCCCACGAACAGCCTCGCGTGTGGTCCTGTGCATATTTGTGCCCACGTTTCCCCTTAAGGTATGCAAATTCCTGGGGACACACATATCCTTGCAAAAGTCTGTGACTGCACCCCGGAGTGCCCTGTGGGCGAGCGGACACACGGGTCCAGACCTGAGCACCAGCCAGATTGAGGGCCAATCTCTCAGACAGGGCCGTGGGCATGCACATGTTCCCCTGGACAGACACCCCGAGGGCTGAGCTGACTGTGTGTACAGGCTCCTTTGTACATGGCTGGCCCTGAAATCCCGGGTGCACACACAGACGTGCGTGCGCGCAGACACACACACACACACAAACACACACACAGCTCTCGGCACCCGCAGCCCCACATGCATGCAGGGGCAGTCCCGGTACCTTGGTGCTGGGACCCTGCGGGCCTGGAGAGGCCGGGGGGCTGCCAGGAGGAGGGTCCTTGGTTCCAGGACTGGACGGGGGGGACCCCGCGGACAGACTAGGGGAGACACAGAACCGAAGGTGGGGTGGCTGACTGGACCTCTGACTCTGCCGTCTCCAGCCCCTTCACCGAGCAGGATGCTCACCTGGAGGCGGGGGATGAGGGGTCCCCGGGACTCTCGCCAGGGGACGAGCATTTCTCTCGGGACAGCTTCCTGAGAATAGGGACAGGGGCTGAGGCTGAGGCAGACTCAGTCCAAGGAGCAGCCCCCGTCTCTGCCCACATCACCCCACACACACTCCCCGAGACTCACGCACTGAGACGCTTGGTGAGGCTGATTCGCCGCCGGATGCGTGGGGAGCTGGGGCAGGAGGCGGCCGGCGGCTCAATGACACGGGAGATACGGTAGCTGAGGGGGCAGGAGGCAGGAGGCAGCAGGGAATGAGGAGACACGCGTTACAATCAAGCTGGGTTTCGGGGGGGTCAGTGGGGAACAGCCTGGGGTTGGGCACCAGAGGTCAGGGCCAAGGCAGTAAATGGGGCCCTGAGAATCAGGGTCTTATTTGGGATGGCCTGGTTGGCACATAGAGTTCAAGGTCACGCAATCATTGGGGTCAATGGTTAGGGTCATAGATTCAATAGAATGAAAGGAAACAATTAGATTAATTGAGTTGGATGCTTGAATTTACATCTGAGATGGAGTCAGTTACTCAGAACTGGGGGTCAATGATTGGGCTCAGAGAGTCAGATGAGGGGTCACGATGGGGTCACGGGTCAGACAGGGCCAGAAGGTGGGAAGAGCACAGATGGCCAGCCGCGTGTTCAAGGCTGAAGTCAGAAAGTCAGACGGGGTCAAAGTTTGAGGTCAGAGATCGATTGGGGCACTCGATTGGGCTGGAAATAATGCAAGGTCACAGGTTGGGGGGGGTCAGGGCTCAGGAGGGGGTCTTAGGAGGAGCTGGGGAGGTGCATGGGATAAACAGATCCAGTGTGCGATCCAGGGTCAGCCAGGGTGGGGCCAGGCCAGGCCACAGGGTGGTCACCTCTGCTCCTCGCTGAGCTGCTGCTGGGCGCGCAGGGCGCCCAGGATGGGCGGGTGGGGGCTCAGGCGGTAGCTGCGACAGCGCCTCTGCAGCTGCTGGATGCGGGCCAGGATCTCCCACTCCTGGGGGAGTGGCGTCTGAGACCCCGCCCCTGCCCTGCCCCCACCCTAGACCCCCCACACCCACCCAGTGCCCGCTCACCTTCCTCCTCTTCTCAAAGTTGATGAGATCCCCCTGCAGGCAAACTTTGTCTGAACTGCAGCCTCCAGGGTCAAGGATGGAGGGTCAAGGTCAGGGGCTGGGGTCAGTTCAGGCAAGGTCAAGGGCAGGATGTCAGGAGGCCTATTGTGCTGAGGGCGAGTAGCACTGAGGTCAAGAATCAAGGGTCAGGCAGGGGTCAGACCTCCAGCATGTCCGGCAAGGCTGTGTCCAGCATAACCAGGTCCGTGAGAAAGGTGCCAAGGTAGGGGACAGGGCCTGGGGGCAGCTTCTGTGGCCCCCAGAACTCCAGTCAGTTTCAGCCATCACTGACCCCATCATGCTCCACCCCCTCCCTGAGGGTCCCGCTGGTCCCCATCCCAAACCACATCACTCACTGAGGGCAGGCTTCCTGGGGGCTTGTCCTCCTCCTGGGGTCCCTCAGTGGCCTCCTCCTGGGGGCAGGGGCAGATCTGAGCAGTCCTGGGGTCTCTTCGACCCACCCTCAGGGAAGACACCTCAACATATATACACTCATTTTGCTCTCAGCAATCACAAACCAGTTGCAAAGGTTTCCCAATGGAAAGTGAGCAGGGGGAAGGAGGGGAGGCATGAGGGAGGCAGGGAGGGAGCAGATAAGCAGAAGGGGCCGGCCCCACCAGGGATGATGAAATTAATAAAGGAAATCTTAACTAAATTGGAGTCAGGAAGGCCTGTAGGGGGAGCCCTCACGCCCTATCACACATCCTCAATTACACCAAACAGGAAGAGAGGGACTTGCATCATCTGCAGGGAGCAAAACCACTTCACAACGGAGGGAAGATTTCTCTCCCCACCTGGCAGCTGCCCAGCCAACGAGAAATGCTACAGCTCAGCCAATGAGAAACGCTGCAGCTCAGCCAATGAGAAACGCTACAGCTCAGCCAATGAGAAATGCTACAGCTCAGCCAATGAGAAACGCTTCAGCTCAGCCAATGAGAAACGCCTGCAGCTCAGCCAATGAGAAGTCATTGCGACCCTGAGCTGTTACTTTCCCCCAGTGGACTTTCCTTTAGAGCAGCCCCTCCCTCCTCCCCCTTTTTCTCTATAAAGCAGCTCCCCTCCTTTGTTTGCTGGATTTCCCTATGGTTCGCCCTAGAATGTACATCCCCAATTGCAATTCTCTTGGCTGTTCTGGAATAAACTCGTTTTGAGGCTAAGTTGACAGAGGTGGGCTCGTGGGTGCTGTGGCCCCCAGGGACCACCTTAACACAGGTGAGAATCCTTGTCAGGGGCCTGGGTGGAACAGGCCCGCCGTCAACCCCCTGGAAACGCCCTGAACCTGGCCTTCATACCATCGCTCTGCCTGGGAATTAATTACACAATAGCTGGCGCACTTATTCTTGCCCTGTGTGTCTCCTCCAGGGCAGGAACGGTGTCTGGTTCACGGCAGAGCCTCCTGGCACAGTGCCTGGCACACAGTAGGTGCTTAATGCAGAGTTCCTTGTTCCCTGAGCTCATCATTGCTGTTAGAACCTAAATCTTGCCTACAATAAGTCAGTCCTGTTGGCATACTCTTTTCAATTTTGCTTATCAAAGTCAAGTCCCTGGCACAATTTTCTTTTCGCTCTTTGCTGTGACTGTGGCCTCAGGCGACCTTTTCCCCGTAACTTCTGGCATATGTTGAATGAATAAAGAACGTGGTCACCGGGTGGGCAGCAGAGGCTGGGAAAAGGGAAAAGGCGGGGCCGCCTGCATACAAGAGGAAGGTCATTCCCGAGCGGTAGGGAAAGGACACTGAATGACAATGACAAGTGATGCCCTGCCTGGTCCCCTTCCTGGCCCGGTACCCACGGGGTCCGCACCCGTCTATACCTGGGAGAGAATCTCTCTGCAGCTCAGGTGGTTGTTCTCATCGGAGAAAATCTGGGAAAGTTTCCTGAAAGTGGATAAGGGTTCCCTAGGGGGACAGGAGAGGGGTTAGGGGTCCGCGGCTGGGAGGGTCAGAGCTGGGATGGGGCGAGGAGGAGAATCCACCCCAGCAGACCCCCCACTCCTCGCTCACCGGCTCACGGCGCCCCAGCTGCGCTTGAGCCGGTAGATGGGGTTCGACTGCAGAGCAGACAGGACGGCGCGCAGGGAGGAGAAATTCCGCAGCTCCCGGCAGCGCTGGGGGGCGGGGTGCGGGCGCTGGTCAGACCTCAAGTCTGACCCCCAGGGATGATTTGCCTTTGATCGCATGACTTTTGACCCCTGGCCAGACCCCTACAACTCGCCCCTCATCTGACAAGCTACCCAGAGTCAGCCTCCTCCCCCAGGAGCCCCTCCCCTCCTCTCCCTGCAGCCCAGCCCCGCCCCCAGCTGCCCCTCCATCCCCTACCTCTGACCTCGGCTTCTCCTGTCCCTACTCCTTCTCCCTGAGCCCTAGACGTGCCCATAGCATCTCTCCTGGACCCAGACCCCTCCTCACTGAACCCAAGTGTCACCCCCAAGCATCAACTTTCTATCCCCTCCCCTCCCCCCTTGCCACGCCCCCACTCTCTCTCCTGGGCCCCCCATTTCTCTCTTCCTCTCTGCCCTGAGGCTCCTGCCCCGCCCCTATCCAGCCACTTTCGAGACCCACGTCCCCTTCTCTGGGCTTTGGTCCCTCCTCCAATCCTATCCCCTCCCCATCACCCCCCCATCCCATCCTCTTATCCCTAGAGTCGCCTAGCGTCTCTCAGCTGTCCCTGGGCCGGCCAGCCCACCCCCCAGGCTTTCCCTTAGGCACCTCCCAGCTCCAACCCTCCCCTCGTTCCCAGACCCCTGTCCTCTGCCTTCTGCCCGCCGGGTCTCTCTGGGTCCCTTGGCCCCGCCCCATGCCCCCCCCCCCCCACAACACGCACCTGGGCGATGCGGATCCACTTCTCCAGCCGCTGCGCCCTCTGCGGGGCGGCCAGGCCCGGCGCCCCCAGCACGGAGCCCAGCACGCAGCCGGTCACCGCGTTGAACTGGGTCACAGTGGCGCGCACGGTGGTGGCGGTGCCCGCGGCCCCCGGCCGGTCCCGCTGCGACCACACGGAGCCCAGGCACTCGCAGGGCCGCACGCGCGAGAAGAGCTCCTGGGCGGAGGGGGTGGGTGGGTAGGACCTGAGCCCAGCGGGACCTGCCCCCACCCACCGCGGGCCCCGGGTCCTCACCACGTCCATCAGGGTCAGCTGCTCGGCCACCTCGTCTACACCGAAGTCCAGGAGCTCGGGGCCTTCCGGCACCAGTCCCTCCTCCTCTTCCAAGCAGCCTTCCAGGGAGTCTGGGCAGGGGGTCCGGGCAGCTCCGGGAGGTCCTGAGGGAGCATTAGAGCCGGTTAAAAACGCTCAAGTTTGAATCCGGGACTGGCTGTGTGACCTTGGGCAAGTCCCTTGGCGTCTCTGAGCCTCCTTCCTCATCTGTAAAACGGAGACCTCCCTGAGTGTTTTTAAGGACGTCAGAGCGAAAGTAACATTCGTGGAGCACCTAGCATGGATTAACTCGGTAATTTAGCACACTACCCCGGGGCAGGAGGTACTATTCTCCACCTTCTCCAGGTGGGGAAACTGAGGCAGGAATAATTTGCCCTAAGTCACGCGTTCAGTAAACATCAAGGCAGAGATTTGAAGCCGCGCTCAAAGGCTAGAGTAGAAAATAGGGCTTTTTGACTTTGAACTTGTATTAGGATAAGATCTGTCTGTCCTTTTTCTTTTGTTTAGAGGTGGTATAACTGTGGTTAAGGGAAGGCTATTGTCCAAAATTCCCAAGTTCAAATTCAAGCTTGTCCACCGGGCTTGCTGTGTGAGCTAAAGTCAGCCTTTTATTCGGCCCTGAGCTAACATCTGCCAATCCTCTTTTTTTTTTTTTTGCCGAGGAAGACTGGCCCTGGGCTAACATCCGTGCCCATCTTCCTCCACTTTACATGGGACCCCGCCACAGCATGGCTTGCCAAGCGGTGCGTCGGTGCATGCCCAGGATCCGAACCGGCGAACCCCGGGCTGCTGCAGTGGAGCGCGCTTATCTTGCGCCACGGGGCCGGCCCCTAAAGTCAGCCTTTCAACGTCTCTGTGCCTCAGCTTCTTCATCTGGACTTTTTTTTTTTTTTAATCAGACAGGATTATGCATACCAGACTGCCATAAAAGGCTCCATAAACATGAATGACTTTTCCGCAGTGGGTTTCAATGGTGGCGTCCCCTAGGGGACATTTTGAAAGTTGGATCTTGCCACAACGGGGTGGACATGAACAGGGAACTTGCTCTACAAAAGTAGAGAAAATTGTATAAACAACACTCAAGGGGCCGGCCCCGTGGCTTAGCGGTTAAGTGCGCGCGCTCTGCTACTGGCGGCCCGGGTTCGGATCCCGGGCACGCACAGATGCACCGCTTGTCCGGCCATGCTGAGGCTGCGTCCCACATACAGCAACTAGAAGGATGTGCAGCTATGACATACAACTATCTACTGGGGCT